CCCCTCTCGGGGGCTTGGCCACACACGCGCCCGACGTGAGTTTCAAGCCACCGGGTCCAGGACGCGAACTGCGGTCGACTACATGGGAGTCCAGTGACATAGCCATTACGCTAACTGCTGGTCCTGACTTGCATGTAGTTTGAATCCCAGTCCTGGTGGCTTGGAAAACATGCCAGGTATGTGTCCTAGCAGGACAGAGAAATAGAGGAGAAAGGATTGCAGCATGACCACACCCCATTAGGGAGTGCTTTCTCTTTCTCTGTTGAGCACATGTGCCCTCTGGTAAATTAAAAAAAAAAAAAGAAAAAAAAAAAAAGAAAAGAAAGAAAGAGGAAAAATAATATTATATACAACAACAAAAAGATATCCTTAATACTAATATTCCCAGTAAAGTAGGGGCCAGCAGGTGCCGTGGTAATTAAAGGTGCTGGACTCCCACAGGGCCAACATGGTTCAAGTCCTTGACCCGGTGGCTCCCTTTCTCACTTTCCCTCTCTGGTCAAATTGGAAAATAATAATAATAATAAAGTTAAAATAATTCTATGAAAAATCATTCCCATAAAGGTATTTAAATAAAAATTTATTTGAAAGACTTTTTAAAATAAAGAACACAGGACAAGCAAGTGGTGTGGTGGTGAAGACAGCTGAATTCCACATTAAATGTACAGTCGAATCCTGGACTCAACAGCTTGAAAAATACACCAGGCACTTGTGTCCATACCCAAAAAGTCCAAAAAGAGAAGTGGAGAAGGTGTTGGAACATGACCATTCTCCATGGGGGGGGTGCTTTCTTACCCCCCCCAGCAAATGTACATGCCCTCTAGTGAATTAAAAAACAATAATTTTAAAAGTAATAATAAAAAAAACAGGAAGCATTTAGTCATTAAATAATTGTTCTTTCCCAACTCTTTAGTTCAACATTTTATCTAGAAGCATAAGGGGGAAGTGTTAGTTACACGAGGGGAGGGCAAGAGGGAGGAAGAGGTTTAGTATTCCAGGTTGAGACTGAGGTGAGTTATCTACCTATAATAGGTAAAAATAATAATAGTAATAAACACTATAAAAAAGCAGTTATTACTCCTCCCCAAGAAATTATCACTAGTTTACTGTTGGAGCATCAAACAGGAATCAGCATCTAATACACTTTTTTTTTTTTTTTCTTTCCTACAGGGCGTGTGCGCTTGCCAGAAAGACAGAGAGACAGAAAGCAAGAAATCACCCCCCAGGGGGGATGGCCATGCCGCAATCCCTTCTTCCCCATTCTCCTCTTGGGATCTTGGGCATGCACGCACACGCGCCCGGCATGAGTTTAAGCCACCAGGGCTGGGACTCGAACCATGTTCGACTACATGGGAGTTCAGCAACATAGCCATTATGCTAACTGCTGGTCCCAGCATCTAATACACTTCTGTTGGATCCCTGAGACCAGCAATATTATAGGGAAAG